CAGATGTGCCTTGTTTAATATGATGGAATGATTTGTATTGCTTTTTTTATTATCATCAGCTTCATTAGATCGTTAATTTATGTGATGAAACCCAGATCTGGGTTTGAGAAAAACCTAGATCTGGGTTTGAGAGAAAAACCCAGATTTGAGTTTGAGAAAGGAAGAAGAAGGGAGAAGAAAGAGAGAGAATAAGAAGAATGAGCGAAAGTAACACATTATTTTTTTTCCTGGGTTTGAGAAAAACCCAAATCTGGGTTTAAGAAAGGAAGAAGAGGAAGAAGAAATCTGACGTGGGTGAAAAAAAAAAAGAATTATTACTTTTAAATTAAATAAAAATGCCAACTCATAAAGAAAAGGCCAACTATACTTTTTTTTTCCATGTCATTGATTAAGAAAAAAAAGAAGAATTGATTTGTTGTCATTTTAACGTGCCACCTGTCATTTAACTGACGGAAGGACCATTTTGGTACTAAAAATGAAAGTTTAAGGATAATTTTGGTACTTTTTAAAGTTGAGGGACAATTTTGGTGCCAAAGTGAAAAGTTGAGGGACCAAAATGGTACTTAAACCTGAAAGAAACTAAGTAATAAGGTTAAATGTAGGTACCTATGGCTATTCAGCTCGTAGTTCGATAGGCCCAGAAAACATTATTTAGCTCGTCTACCCACTTGGCCTTAAATTGTTCCAATCTCGGCTTGATTCCCTCAAGAATGACTTTTTTTACCGACTCAATCATCCCATTGGCCTTTGGATGATAGATCGAGGTGAATGTTAGCTTAATTCCATAGTTAGAGTAAAATTCATTGAATAAGGTGCAGTTGAATTGAGCTCAGTTATCAGCAACTATCTGGTTCAGAATCCCATATTTGCATATTATTGAATTAAAGACAAAATCCTCCATCTCTTTCAAAGTCAAGCTAACTAAAGGTCGAGCTTTTACCCACTTCAAGAAGTAGTCATCAACAACAACCAAGTATGTTACACCTTTTACATCTTTTACAAATAAACCTAAGAGATCAAGGTCTTACTAGGCAAAGGGTCATGGTGCTACCAAGTTAGTGAGTTCTTCTGCTAGTTCATATATGAGATGTGTAAAGAATTAGCACTTTGGACACCATTGAACAAATTCTTTTTCATCTTTTTACATATTCAACCAATAGTATCCTTGTCTAAGGACTTGGAAGCCAATGCTCTAGCACCCACGTAATTTCCACACACTTTCATACAAGTTGAGAAAGGCATATTCAGCTTCATAAGGTTTAAGCACCAAAGTAAAGGAAGTGAAAATGATTGTTAATAAAAGACACCATCAATCAAGATATACTAAGATGCCTTTCTTCTCAATTTCATCCCTACTTGCTTGTCATTTGGAACTAAGCCATCTTGGAGATAAAACTTGATTAGATTTGTCCAACTTAGAGTATTTGGATCTATGTTGATCTCTATCAACCTCAGCTTTGGAAAACTTGGCTCATTTAGTATTTCAACATACTAACCTTTCCTCATTAAAGCTATCAAAGGCTAATTTTGACAAAGAATCTACTTGTTCGTTTAGTAAGAAAAAAATATAGTTTTCATTGTTGATATCTCCAAGATCCAATTTTTACTATGAATTAACTTAAACCATTTCATTATTCAATTTAACAACAGTAGAAAACAGGTATATTTCAATTTGCAACCTAGATTTTGGGAAATTATTAAGGACTAGAGTTTGTGGCAAAGTGGGGTCTTTTAGTTCAATTCCTTTATAATTCAAAGCTACTTACTTTAACAGTTTTATGTTTCTGACATCAATGGTATTGGGTTACTTTTTATTTTTCTTTATCATTTAAAAAAAAAGTTAGTTGACATATATCTTGATTTGATATGACTGTTACTAGTAGTGCCCTAAGTATTTTCGTTAGTTGAAGTTTTTTAAATTTGCTTTTTAATTTGAAATCACAGCTACATATCTTGCTAAGGTAGGTTCAACTATCTTGCACACTAAATTCACTTGGTTCACCACTACCTATGAGTCATTATACATCTAAATCGCCTTAACATTAAGTTCAACTACTAATTGAAGTCATAGTAATAGGGCTTCATACTCAATGATGTTATTAGTAGCCTCGAAATTGAATTTAAGGGCATGTTCACTTTAGAATCCATCTAGGCCAATTAGTTCAGCTCGGGCACCAAAGCCTCTATAATTAAATGCCTTATCTACATACAAAGTCCATGCATCCATTTTAAGGGCAAAGATTAGTTGGTTGAAGATGCATTCTATAATAAACTCTACCAACACTTAAGCTCGAATTGTAGTTCATTGCTAAAATGTTATCTACCTGAACACTTTGGCTTTTGGAGAATCTACTTAAGAGGCTGATTTGCAAGTACAATTATTAGGTAGGATTAGAAGTATGGCCTCCACTTCTAAGCTAAGGTAACAATTGTAAGAGTTGTCTTCATGCCAATTGGATATTGCTACTCAACCCCTTGTAATACTCTGTTGATACAACATACTAACTTTTGTTGTTTTCCTTCCTCTTTTACTAATGTAACACTTATTAATTCATTTGAAATTCCGAGGTACAAATAGAGAATTTCACCATCAAGTACTTTTAGTCAACAAAGATGTGAGTTAAGATAAGACTTAAACTCATTGGATGCTTTCTGACATTCTTAGCTCTACTCAAATCTCTTCAATTTACCTATCTCGTCTTTTTGAACAGCTTAATTTAATAAATCATCTATTAATTTTCATATTCTTTTCAGTTATCTATTATCTTTGAATTCTTTCAAACCTGTATATTATCTTTCACATTTATTTCAATTTCATCTAATCCATTAAAGATAACGGAAATCTTCATATCCAGTCAAAAAACATTTAGTACTCTAACGATATTTCTTTTGATTTTTTGGTCCTTAAATTTATATTCACCTTAAAAATGTTTTGTATTCTTATCTTGCTAAATGTGTTTTTTAGAAAACTATTTTACTGGTATCTTTAATTTTATTTTCATATTATTTTTTCAGGGATATTTAAATAATTTTACAGGCTAGATTGGGTATAGTTTGCCCTGTAAAATAGACTTACTCTTGAAACCTCTTGATGGGAATCAAGATGACAGCATATCTACTACGTCATGTGATCCATTACACACCCAAGGAGGTCCAATCACACGAGTTAGAGCTAAAAAGATGCATGAAGTTTTAAATGGCCTTATTGAGCAGATCTGGGTTGAAAACAACATACAACAAGCAAATCGAAGCTTGGATGATTATCAAGGCATGGTAAACATCATTCAGGTTCAAGAGAAGCTTAGTTGAGGTCATTTGAACGGAATTACACAGTTTACGTCAAAATCGCATAGTTCTACCGCAATTTGTAGCAAACTGATATTTTGTATTATTTTAGGTTATTTTTAGTGATTTTCACATTTTTTTTTTTATTTTTGGGCTGAACATTCGTTTATTTGAAGCCCAATTCGTGGTTATTAGGTTTAGGACTTAGGCTGTTAATTTCCTATTCTGATTAGGATTTGTTTTCTCTATTTAAAATGCTTGTAACCCTAATGAGGAGGGAGGCTATTGAATCTGAGATTTTTGAGAGACTTTTCTCTTTGGTTCGTTTAAGAACTTTACAGAACTTATTAAGATTATTTTTGTGGCGTTCTAACCTGACTTATCATTTTCGTTCTTAATCGTTCGAGGGTGTGGCGTCAACCAACTTTATACCTCTGGTTCTTGTTGCCTCATAGACAACGGGTCAAGGTTTTTACCTTTGGTTCTTGTTGCGACATAAACAACGGGTCAAGGTCCTAGTATAAACCTGATTTAGCTTTCCTGGAGTTTAGAAATCTCTTGTCGTGCTGTGGGTCTCATTGTTCTCTTTGGGGTTTTTTCATCACCTCTCGTTCTAAATTTATTAAGTTTCTCTATTTAAATTGAGCTAGTTACTCAAGTTTATTATAAATTCTAACTAATCTATTTCTATAAAGTATTTCTTCAGTCATCATATTTTGTTGGGATTATAATGTCACTTTTTTAAAATTTAAAAGACTATTCTTTTCCATTAAATTTAATAGAAACTTTGCACGGTAGACTAATTTGAAATATTCTTCAAAGTTTATAGATCATTTAGAAAGAAAACAAACTTTCTAGACTAAAATAAAATTAAACTGATAGTTAATAGAGTAATTAGTAAAATAAGCCCTTTTTGAACTGTCAATTTCATGACCCTGAAAAAGGGGAGACATTTTTCAATCGATTTTAAGATGAATCTATAAAGCACTGCCACTCAACTTGCCAAGCATTGAACATCTTTAATGGATCTTAGAGGTTCCATCTCCTCAATGGCTTTCATGTCCTTAGGATTAACTTTTATCCCTTGTCTAAAAACCACAAATCCCAAGAACTTGCCAAGCTCCACACTAGAGGTGCACTTAATAAGGTTCAACTTCATTATGTTTTTCCTCAAATTGTTGAATATCTCTGGCAAATCAACCAAATGATTTTTTGCCTTAAAACTTTTCACCACAATGACATCTACATAAACCTTTAAGTTCCTACCTATTTGAGATCAGAACACTATAATCGCCATCTTTTGATATATAGCTGTTGACGATCACTTAAAATTTCAAAATAATGAAAAATTAAGTGAAAAAAAATAAGAAGGGGAGTCGCCACTTGTCCAAATTATAAGATGGGACAAGTCACCTTAAAATGGATTTGCGTAGAGATCGAGGTTCGAGGGTTTGGTTAGGAGTGAGGAAAGGCATGCGCTCACCTTACAATCCTTTGTTTAAACACGATTGCATACTTTAACATTTGGGTTTTTAATTCAACTTATTCATTATGTCACGCCCCAAAACCCAAATCCGGGGACGTGGCAGATGCTATGCACTCGTGAGAGGGTCTCACAAATGCACAAGGCTCGGAACTTATCATACCACAATCTAATACCATCAAAATCTAAAGATAAAATTATAAAATTTGCTCTGATATTATAAAATCTCCAAATAAAGTCTAACTTACAAGATCATGCTTTATATCTAAAATCTAAGTTCAATTTACAAGATGGCTAGCCTTCTAACTCATCACTCCCCTCGTTTTTCCCCATCCTTAACTTCGCTTTTTGAAATGGTGGACAAGGAAAAATTATGAGATAACTCAGTAAGTAAATATGGATAGCCCTTAATTAAACTTATAGCATGCGAACAAGTGTAATAAAAAAAACAGATATAGTACGGGAATGAAATAGACGTCTCCTCTATAGGTCACGGCCAGTGTTATAAACCTCCCACTAGCAAGCACACGATTTACTAGTATATAATCCCATTAGTAGGATAACAGTATAACAAAAATGAATCGGTTCTATCAGTAACATGTCGACATGTGCTAGCGTTTATAAACCTCCCACTAGCGGGCACACGAATAACATGATCATATCGAAGACAAAACAGGCAGAAGTTAACAGAAAATCATACTTTACAGATAATTTCTAGATCATCAAGGCAGTTAAATAAACTCCAAGAAGGCATGCTCAAATCAATAAAAAGAATAATAATTTCATTTCAAATCAATCATACTTATGTAAAACGGGTTTAGTCCCGCCACCACTTCAAAAATAAGCTAAAATGTGCTTTAAAATCGGAGGTCGTTACCATAATTTACTTACCTCAAATCCGTAATACCGAAAACTCAATCCCAGTGCTCTAAGCCATAACAGCACCTAATATTCCAAATAAATACATCCAGACTTTGCTAGAATTATTAGCACAACCTTGCAAATTTTCTAATCAATGAGCTTCACACGAAATTCAACCATATGATCAAACATCTCAATTTTATTCTCAATATAACTACACATTTAAACCCTCATATTGTTGACCATTAGTGCATCAACAGTACCCGTGAACAGTAATCACGCAATTAACAGTAACTGCAACTTCCAAAAATTGGCAAAACCATAGCTAATCTCACAGGATTTTTCTCCAAAATCTCACAGCAGTCAATTAACACTTAATCACATAAATTCCATTTGAATTAATGCTTAAATTTGTCCTAATTGCTACCGGAATTCATCCCTTTTTCTGCAGAATTTCGGACATCACAGGAGTAGCAAATTAAATGGATAATTTTAGGCTTAAAGGGCTGTCACATACTAGAATTTTGCAAGCAAAACCGGAGCTGTGGTTTGGGGAAGGCCGGCGGGAAGTGCAGGGGGAAATTCAGGATCTACCAAAAATTGGGAGGAACCAAGAGGAATTAGAGTAAATCCAAGGTAAATCAAAGCTAAAAGATAAAATTCATGGCTGATTTTTACCAGGAAAAACCGAAATTCACACCCAACAGCAACCGGCGACAGAGGAGGAAGAACAGAGCAGATCTGGAAATTCTGCAAAGGGGGAAAGATTTCCAAGCTTTAAATCTTGTTCTTGGACAAGAAAATAAGGGGAAATCATAAGCTTTACCAGTTTTTTTTTCAAAGGGAGTGCTGTCGGGCTTGGGTTCTTGTTGTTCGGTGCAGGGAGAAGAAGAAGAAGAGCAGAATTGGGCTGAAGAAGAAACAGGAAAAGGAGAAAAAAATAAGTCATCCTTATCCAAATTTTTTCTCTTTTAATTCCCTCAAGTTAGGATATTTTAGCTAATAGGCCCCAAAACAATATTTTCTCACGGAAAGGTCCTCAACTTAAATGATAAAATTCCCGAAAATTTGAGATATTACACACTATGTTTGTATTTAGGTCTAAATAAGAAAGCTTGAAAAAGAGATAAACCAAATTGCAGCATTTTTTAATTTTTGGACTAAAATGGACAAAATCAAGAACATGCATGCATAATAAACACAAATAAAAATTAAATGGATTGATTTGGTTAATTCAAAAACATGGAGGACTGATTTTAAAAAAATTAAAACCTTAGGACTAAATTGTTTAATTACAAAAGCTTTTGGGTGAAATTAAAAATAAAGTAGAGAATTTTGACTTTGATCAGGATTAAAATTAATTAAAAATTGAAATTAATTAATCAAAATAATTAGTTTAATTGAATAATTAATTTAACATTAATTAAAATCAATTACAATTAATTAATCACATTTATTAATAAAAAATAATTAAATAAATCTAATTATCTCAAATCAAATTCAATAAATATGATTAATTTATTTTAATTAAAATTAATTAACTTCATTAATCATAAATTAAACTAACTCACTTGCTTAATTAATAATTTTATATATATACTTTTTACTTTTTACCCTTTTTATTTATTTATTTATTTTTTTTTAAATCTATCGGATTGGGTCGGGTCGACCCAACTCAGAAAAACACCACCCATCAACTAAAACAGGCAAAAACAGATCGAACATAAAAAAAAAGACTTAAAATTACGATTCGTCATTTTCAAAAGAAAGAACACATTCATCATAAAAAGGATCACATTCATCAAGGAAAAACAAAAAAAGGAAAGCACAGTCATCAGACAAAATGAACTGGACAATTTGTTTTGGATTTTTTCATTCATTTTCAACGAACACATACAAACGATAAACATCATAAAAAAAAAAATCAACAGAAACAGGAAGATAAAAGAAATAAGCACGGCAGAGCTTTCTGGGTAACAGATCGGAGTCCGATCTGGGGAATCCCACCCATGGGATCAAGCCCAAATCCTTCCCCTCACTGCTTCCCGAAAAGAATCCTATGTTTTTATGGTTTACCTAGCAAAAGGAGGCCGAAATACTGTCGAAATCTCACCGAAATCACCTCGGTTTTCTTCTCTCTTCTTTTCCCGAAATCCAGAACAATGAAAACCCAAAAACCCTCCCTAAAGAACACCAGATCTGTTCCTTTCAATTTTTCAATTCTTCTTCTTCCTCCAAAAAAACAGATCTCCATCTCTCTCCTTTTTCTTCGAACCTCTCCCTCATCTAATTTTTTTCTATATATATACCCAAAAAAATAAAATAAATAAAACAAAATGAAATAAATAAAAAAAACTTGCTCCGTTAATCACTGATGATGCCAATTTTGTTTGGTATGTGCAGTTTTTTCTGTAGGTGAGGCAAGGACATGGCTGTAGCGAGCAAGAGTGCAGAGGCACGGGATTGGAGTGCAGAGTGCAGGAGCGTAGGCTCGGTGCAGCAGCAGGGGCGCAGGCGTTCAGGGGGTAGGGCGCGGTGTAGGAGGTAGGGCCGTAGAGGGGCGTATGAGCGTTCAAGGGGGGTGTAGGGAGGTATGATTGCCGGTGATGGCTAGGGCGTGCAAGGGGGGTGTAGGGATGTATGATTGCCGGTGATGGCTAGCTATTGTGGCTACCGGCTGGTTTTGGGGGCGAAGCTAGTTCGGGAGAGAGAAAAGTAAAGATGGAAGAGGAAGGGGAAGGTTCCAGATGCCTCCCC